CCGACCCACAAACACACATGTAATGTGTCCCTTAACCAACCGTAATTCCCCTCACAAATAGTTGCCAATGGTTAAGACCAATAAACGAAGAAAAAAATTTCTTTACTTTATTAGTTGCTCATGTGAAAATAAAATTATTAGGTACCTAACAATTTATCATAATTTTACAACTTCCACATTCCATTTACCCAAATAAATAAAAATGTATATTTTAAATCTTAATTAAGAAAATGTTGTAAGTATAATATTACACTGGGTGACTTCCCCCTCCTGTTAACCAAAAATCATCACATTTACTTATTGTATCACATGTAAATACAGATTGTAAATATATTATGTTTGTTCAATAAAAAAAAAAAAAAAAAAAAAGTATAATATCAGTTTTAAACAAAATATTTTTATTAATACAAATTATAATATTATTATACATACAATTAGATATTAATTCTACGGTTTTTCAAAGTTGCCCATAATGTTGCTATTTTGTTCATATCTAATTGATCAACCACATCTTTTTCCACGCTTAAAATCATAAGTGAATCCAATCTATCATCAGCTATAGATGATCTTAAATTATTTTTTATTAGTCGGATGGCTAAAAAAACAATAAATCAATATTTAATAAATAAATCTTAGGATAATTATAATTATCATAATTAGTAGGAAGATACAAATATACAATTGTAAAAATATATTATTCATAGTACATAGGTATCTCATAAAATAATTTGTGATAATTTTACAGCTAATAATTTCATACCTACTGATCAATTTTTAAATACCTTTGGTGGAAGATGGTTCAAATTAATATTTATAAAACAACTTTTTTCCAGTGGTCTCTGGGTATTTTGAATCTAATAAATGAGAACAAAAAAAAATGATTAGGTACCTTAGTACCTGCCTATATCTACTTACATAAATATTAATACAATTTACTAATTTATATTTGTTAATAACATAATACTGATAGTTAGTATTATTTATTTGAAGTACTTTAAGTATTTTTACTTACTTGTTTTGAATTTGATTTAGAAGCTTCGAATGGATTTTTAGGAGCACCAAAATGTTTGGTACCGACTTTTTTTACCATTATGTATATTTTTTTTCATGTTTTTGCTTATAATCATTGTCAAATGCTTTGCCACATTCCAAGCACTCTAATTTAATCCGCTTTTGTTTGCCGGAATTTGTTTCATTTTTATTGCCATAACCATGATTATTTAAACAGTAAAATGCAAAATTATATGAATAATAAGAAAAAATAATCACATAATATTAAAATTATAATAAATAGAACTATAGAAGACGTTAATTTCTAGTAGGTAGTTACAGAACACGTTGCCACTAACCTCGGACGATTTATTGGGACGAATAGTCGAATAGACGACAACTGATAACTATCGACTGCAAATGTGCAACAAATTTCAAGAATAATAAAATAATATTTTATAATACCAAGAATAAGTCAATACATACGACTACCACGGGTAACAGTTTACATACTTACGTGTTGTACAACAGTCGCGCAATGCACTGATAGTAGATAAACACATCTATTTTTAGCATTCATTGTAATCGAAGTGTCGACGTCGTCGTCGTCTTATCCTTTATAGAAATATAATATTATATACAAATATATTTTGAAAATAATAAAAATACTATTAAAATACTGACGATGCCAAATTGCCGACAACTTTTACCAAGTGTCCAATTTGCCGACTAAATATTAAAAAAATTATGAGTGGGGGGGTTAGACACCCCCCACGCCCCCCTCAAAGGACGGCCCTGGTCATGTTTTACTAATATCTAATTTACAACAATGCTAGCAGCTCGCAGCTGCTGCGGGCTGCACTCATGCCGTTGTCAGTTATCCAAGGAATTATTATTGTTGGTATAAAAATAGATTTGAGAGAATATCATAAAATAAACTTTGGAGAAATCTCCACCAAATCACAATACATAAGGAAAAAAAACATTTTACATAATTTCAAAGTTATAACTATGTTGGCTAAATAATAAAAAAAAAGTTCATGAAAATTTACCGCCCCCCCCCCAAAAGTTATGAGGGGCAATGGCCCACCCTGCCAACCCCCCCTAAATACGGGCCTGGATTAGAGTGAATCCGACCTATTCTTATTATGATACTCGATGGTAATCCAACATTATCTGTGTTTTGTTAGAAGTTTTTTTACGAAAATTCAGTTATTATTAAGTGAGTTACCTATGCGTGTACGGTGTACCTATAATAAAATATGTAAATCAAAAATGCTCATAACTCACTTAAATTTTCTATTTTTTGGGTGACTTAATATTATATAGGTACTTTTTTTTAAAACTTGACAGGTTAAACCACTTTAATTATTTCAATTTTATACTCTAGAGTCTAGGCGTATAACATTATTAGGCCATAATAAAAATGTAATGCAGGACACATTTTTCCAATAATTAAAGTTTTAAACTTTGTATAGGTATAAGGTATATACAACTATATAGGTAATAGTATACACGTTCAATATAATATGATGACGAGCAAACGTACATACGTATTATATTATTGTGCTACAGTAGCGGATGCGGATCTGAAGCTCATTTAAGGAGGGGGCGAATTGGTATCATAGAATTTCAATATATACATATATTAGTCAATAGACATCTATTATAATATAAACTCGTATATAAAAAAAAATTGAACCGTATAAAAATTCAACAGTCTTTTAGTCAATATTAAATAAACAAATGCATTAATAATTTATTTGAGCTACAATTGTATGGTTCTTATTTTACCAGCCGCAAGTCTGTCAATGATTTTTTCCACATCAATGCTTATGTCCCTGTGAGTATTGAGTAAAGCTAAGCCAGTTAACCTTTCCTCACCCATGCGTGACCTCATCCACGTTTTTAATCTAATAAACAAAGCAATAAGCAAAATACTAAAAGCAGGAAAGGTTATCAGATTGGCAGGACAGTTATAGGAAGTAAAATTGATAAAATATACACCATACAACATTTTTAAATATACATTAATTTTAAAAATATGCTTTAAATTATAATTGAGGCAGTTTAAATAAAAATATTTTATAAAAACCTCAAACACTAAGAGGACCCTACCCGTCTTATAAAATATGTATACAACACAGTAAAAACTGTTTTGCGAGGAATAGAACCACTCAGGCTGTAGTAATAGTCATATGTCATAATTTAAATAACATTTCTAGTGTATATTATCTAATAGTATAATAATATTATATTCTTGTAGATTGCCTGAATACAACAGTAATATTTACTTTTTATAACGATACCTACATATACTGTAATATTTGTTTCCAGTATCTTCTTGTCGAACATTATAGGACTAATACATAATTTTTCTTTTAAATTTACATGTTAAAACAACAGTGGTTTTTTAAATGTAATATATTATTGGATAATAACTTTTGGATGTTACCTTATAAATTGTTATAATAAACGTTGACTAGATTGCTTCGTAGCCCGTAGGATAGATGAGGTGTTTGAGCTATAACTACTATGAATAAATAATTATAAACTGCACAAATAAAGTACAGGTATAACTACCACAATTATTTGTGAATTGTGGCAACACAATGCACAACTATAATGGATACACTATTTATTGAAATTTGTACTTCTTTATTTATTCGTTGATGCATATATAAATTATAAAGTGAGTCCCTATCGGACGACTTTAATATTTATAATACATTTATATCACTGGCACACGTTAACTTGCTGCCGGAAAATTTACTAATTATTGCTGAACAATAAAACAACAATTTTTGGCTCATAGACGCAAGACAACCAGAGAGTATGGCACTGTCTGGCATAATATATTATATAATAATATAATTCATTTTGTAGCTTATTTATTTGATTCAACAATAATCAAGTTATATATGTATATAATATTAATTACGTCAAAAATATTTTAAATAAACATTCAAAAAATCTAAAATGTATTCTAGAAAAACATACATGGATGTTTTATTGTTTTGTCACACAAATAAGTAAAAATTATAGCTAGGTACAATTGTACAAACAATGAGACCTATTGTATGCTAATTAGCTAAGTAAAACTAAAAAATGGTGGCTTATTAAAGACTACTGTGGCATAAATATCACCAATAATATTTGAATCAATTCTCTCAATTGTCCATGAATTAGTGGCAGGATTGTAAAATTCAAAGGACTTCTGAGATGAATCTAGGCTCACTCCACCCATAACATATAGTAAACCATTAAACGCAACTACTCCTATATTAAAAAATGTAATTCAAATTCAATACTTATATAAAAAGCATAGGCGTGCGCACGGGTAGGGCTGATTGGGCTTTAGCCCCACCTGAGATTTTTTTTATACGTGGGTGGGTTGGTACATTATGAAGATATGACTGAAAGTAGGTATAGCCCTTTTAGTTTTTAAACGTTTGTGTTTACCCGAGACACTATACAGGGCGATTCATTTAAAATTGAACACCCATTATTTCAAAAAGTGTAATTGTTTTTGAAAGTGTTTTTTTACATAGTTTCAAGTCGTTTACAAAACAACTTTGTTATTAAAAAATTATATTTTTAAATATTTTTAATCCTTCTAATTATTTAATTTTTTTAATTTTTTGAATGACAACAGAGTTTTGATTTCATATTCCAAAGCAGAATATTTTTCTAAGTATTTCGATACATAAAAATTGAATTTAGTGCAAGTAGTTTATGCGTTATAATTATTTAAAGTTTATAATATGAGCGGAGTTGAGTGGTACCTACGGGATTACCCAGGGAAATGTAAGTGAACTACTCCGCTCACCTAAACTTTAAATATTTATATCTCGTAAACTAATAGCCCTAAAGACGATTACCCATGAATAATTTATAATAATAAATAAATATTAATGTTAATTGACAATTTTTAATATTATATATTATGTATTTTGAACGTTTTTGAATAGATTGTTTTATTATTAGATTATATTTGCGTACAATTTTAAATCAATATATTGATGAATTTTTCCAGTCACCAACAAAAGGTTCACTTAAAAGTTTGTAAGGAAAATGTCTATAATTTTTTTCTTGTGTGACCATGACAAGGTGGTCACATGTGGGCGATCAGATTGACTTAAGCCATACCTGACTCAGAGGTCTGCGCACGCCTATGATAAAAAGATTTTCTTTGAAAAAAAATTATTAATATTATTCACCAGGAAATGATCGACACTCGTGCATATCAGCAATAGAAGTCCATACACCGTCACTTGATTTATAAGTCTCTGCACTTTTGAGAGTTCCTGATTCGTTTTTACCACCAATAGCGTAGATTACACCGTCCAAGACTCCTACACCAACACCATCTCGACATACAGACATTTCAGCAATTCTTGTCCATGTGTCAAGTGTGGGATCATAATATTCAACAGATTTCAATTCATCCGAACCATCATGACCTCCTACCTACACAATTTAATTAAGGAAACAAATTATAATTTTAAAATAGAAAAATAAAATATTTATTTACCGCGTATATATGATTATTGAGTACTCCAATACCCAAACTACCTCTCTTAATTGTCATACTGGAAACCATTTGCCATTTTTCAATACTAACATTAAAAATCTCCACACTATTTAATGGATTAAAATCACCGTCATATCCGCCAACCTAGCATTTAATAAAATATATATTTTATATTATATTTATGACATAAAAAATGAAATATAATGGTATAAATTACAGCATATAATGTACAATCATCTAATACAGCAACTCCCAATTCTGTTCGACTAATTAACATGTCAACTGTAGGTACCCAAATCTTTGATTGGGAAGTTAAATCAAGCATTTCAACAGATCGAGAATCGCTTGAACTTGACTTATGAACACCGCCCACAGCAAACAAAAATGTATCTTTTATTAGCGATAGACCAGCTGTGTAACGGCACTTAGTCATTTCAGGTACAATGTCCCATTGGTTGGTTGTTGGGTCATACCAGTGTATGAAACTGTTTTTCATTGTAGTATTCCAACTTAAAACTAGAATAACCTGAAATAATAAAAAAGATAAAAAATTGTTAAGATAGATGAATAATAATTCTTAAAGGAACTATACTTTTTGCAAAGGAAAACCACCAGGCTGTCTAAACGAATTACGAATTGTTTGTGGAATTGTGATTTGTTGTTTTAATTTATGTAAATGGAAATGTAAAGCTTCTATTACATAACTGTTACCTAAAAAATATAATTGTATATTATATAAATATAAATTAATAATAAAGGAATATTTATAAAAAAACACATACATTTAGAACTATTTTTAATGAGAGGTTCTTCAACTACTTTTTCTAATATGTACTCTACTGAAGCTAATGGCAAACGAACATGCTCCATTAATCCAGGCAAAAATTCTATTCTACGATCCAATTCATGGTTTACCCAATTTATAATACATTCATATACCTACAACAACATTAAAATCGAATATTATTATTATTATAATTAACTATATAAGATATGTGTAGCTCAATCTATTTTGGCCTTAACCAAAATAATATGTATTTGCTATACCATCCAAAGAATAAAGAATATTATAACAAATTCAAAGCATTTTGCAATGCTGGATTTCATAATTATTTTGTTTTTTATATTAGACTACTAGAGAATTTCTATTATAAGCTTTTGGTTTCTGCCTTCTAATAGCAAACCAAGAAATGTATATTACCTACACTTGTACACTTTTAAATTAAAAAATAAATATGATTATTTTATAAAACCTATACTAGTATAACAAATATTTCTTATAATTGATAAATTAAAACTCTGTCTAAAATAAGATGAACCACAGGTGGTACTTTGAAGCGATGACTTTTATTATGTTAGTAGTGCCGAGTGTCACTTTATTATAGCCTAAGAGGTTGCAACAAATCTCTACAATGGTTGTGTAGATACTAGATAATCCAATTATTAATAATTTTTTAACTACAGTCTCACAGCCTCTACCTTATTGCGGCTTATTTTGAGAAATATAAAAATTAAATAAAATACCTAGGTATGTAGTTGGTAAAAATTTAATACTTAAATGTCTAAATCTCAACACAACTAAAGTTATCATATGCATTATAGATACATTTACAGTGTTGGGAAAAGATAACCAAAAAATCATCTGGATAAAATAACAGATAATTCATTGAAAATTAATCTAGATAAGATAAAATATAACATTATTTTTTTTTATCTAGATAAAGATAAAAATATACATACATTTACCTAAAAAAAAAAATAGATAATTTGTTTTTAAATTATATTATAAATAATGTAATTTATTAGTAATTACTAATAAGGACATTTTTATTAATTAATAAATTATGTAATTTTTCAACTAAAATAATATTCAATATACATTTTTTAATACAACTTGAATAAAAATAAAATAAAAAAGGTGGGCAAGTGGGTGTCGCTCTGCTGTACAGTAGGTTACAAGTGGGTCACTGTATAATGGATGGTATTATATTTGAATTCAATGATATAATATCATTGTATAAGAAAACGATTCTGAGCGGTGACGGTATGTCAGTCTATGTATAAGACATATTATATACATATCTATGGTATTAAACAAAAAATTGACCTATAATAGGTACCTATAATAAATTCCAAATTAATCATATCACAATATCCATTAGGTACTGGTAACGCGTTATACATCAACAAAAACCGTGATACTATCATAGATATATAAAAGTACACTTTAGAAGTTTCAAGTACCCACGAATAATATTATTCAATCACAACAAAATAACTAAAATCGTAATTCTTGGTTTAAATATGAAATTTTGTCTAAATTTGAAATTAAAATGTCTGTAAAAAATAAGTGT